GCACCAGCCCCGGCAGGCCCGTGCGCCCTCGGCCGCCGGCAGGGCCCTGCAAGCCCTCGAAGGCGCAGCGCTAGCCCGGCAGGCCACGCGCAGGCCGTCGCGCCCCGGCATCGCCTTCGGCGGCCCGGCGCTGCCGCGCTCCCCGCCTTGTATCTTCTGCTTGAATCTCCTCGCGGCCGGCACGAGCGCCCTGCGAGCGCCACCCTCCGCTACACCGACAAGGCCACGCACCCCGCCACTGCACACCCCGCCCTCGCCACTCCTCACTCCTCACATCCCACTCCTCCACCCGTCCCTCCCCCATCGCCACATCTCCCCCGACCCACCTCCTCCTCCCCACGCCCGTGCCTCCTCACCGACACAACGCCCCTCCTACTCAACCAGCCCACAAAATCCGCCCCACCCCGCACTACCCTGCACCGCAACGCTCCCGTATCTCCCCTCCCACCAAACTACGACCACACCATGGTGGGCCCTCGCGGCCTGCCAGGACCCCGCGGCGAGAAGGGCGACCTGGGGCCCATGGGCTTTCCTGGGCAGCCGGGTGACGTGGGGCCGCGCGGCCTCTCGGGACAGCCCGGACACAAAGGTGAGCCTTCACATCTCCAGTTCTGAGCCACCACTCTAAATAGTTCCAAGGTCTAATTTTAAAGTAGCCACTACTATATCAATATTAAGGTTTGTAAATAAATCAAGAAACAAAATTAATTGAAAATTGGCCAAGGATCTATTCAGAAAGTTAATTGTCCATAACACATTTAGTACTGACGCCTACACATTTTAAGGAACCTACAAAAATATTATTTTCCTGTGTGGCGCAGGTGACAAGGGCGCGCCGGGCATCTCGGCCGTGGGGCCGCCGGGGCCAGCGGGCTTGCCGGGTCTGCGGGGCGAGAAGGGGCTGCCTGGGCTGCCGGGCAAGACAGGACTGCCCGGGCTGGAAGGTAAGGCCGCCTCCCATCACCACTTCACCTCCCCTCACCACTTTATCTCATCTCACCACTTCACCTCCCCTCACCTCGCCACTTCACCTCACCTTTCACTTGGTAAAGGCAACTGAGATACATCCTATTCCAATGATTTTTAATTCATCAGTGAAACTAGAATGAATGTGTTTGCATTATTTTCCACAACTCTGTACTTTCATATAGACTTAACGTATCCAAACAGACGAACGAAAAGCAGTTCTTTTACAGCTAAGGGCAATTGAAACACCTGCGTTGTAGCTAAAGATGGCTATGCGTACGCTATTATTCTATGATGATGTGATTCATATGAATTCAATTTCGGCACAGACTATGCCTGCCGCAGATTCAGACTTCTGACTATCGGTTTCATTTGTTCAGTCAAAGAACAGTAAAAACTGTAGGTGATGTATGGGAGAGAAGTATCATCTGCGTGCGTTATTTGAGCTCCAGACTTTCTTCCCAACACATAAACCATAAATAGTTGAATTACAATAAATTATTAAAAAACTTGGGGTTATTAATATTTGAAAACTAGTACACATGTACGTTCCCGAGTTAAAGAAAACAGATTTCCATCGGTAAACGAACTGCAGATTTATTTATTTTTTGTATTCCTAACAAAATAGTAACACCCCTGCCCTACTCTTACCACTACTAGGCAAATGTGCGCCTAGTGAATCTCCATTTGCGTCCAGAAACACACCATGAGTCCGTGTCAGCGCTTGCGCTATGGCCCGGGGGCGAGAGCGGTGTCGTGAGCAGCGCGTGTGCACAGGGCTGCCGGGGCTGCAAGGCGAGAAGGGCGAGCCGGGCCAGCGCGGGCTGGACGGGCTGCACGGCAACCCGGGCCAGAAGGGCGAGCCGGGCCCGCTGGGCCCCCCCGGCCCCCAGGGTCAGGCGGGGCTGCCAGGCGTGGACGGGCCCAAGGGCGAGCCAGGGCTGGTGGGCGAGCCGGGCCGCATGGGGCTCACGGGCTTCCCGGGCGCCAAGGGCGAGCGTGGCCAGACGGGCGCGGACGGCGCCAAGGGCTTCCCCGGCCCGCGCGGCTACCCAGGTAAGGGCGCACTCCACAGCTCCACGCGCCAAACATGGCGTCCATTCTCACTTCATCAGCGGTGACGCTGTCGTTCAATCGAGAGCTTCGCACAAGTGACCTCACTACGTTGACGATCAATTGTGACGTTGTCAACTAATCGAGAGCTTCAACGTCACTAGTGACGTCACTATAGTTGACATTTTATCAACTGTGGCGCTGTCATCGAATCAGAACATCACCAATGTATCATCACTTAAGTGATGTTCATGCCCCCAATTGGATGACAGCGACACATCTGATCAAGTGCCAATGGACTTAATGTTTTAATCGAAGTACAGGACCAATTCAGCCGTCCTCTTCCTGCACACGTTCACATGCACTACACGATCACACGTACCGGGAGACCAGTCGGGCGCTTAGAGCTTGTCCCGGCTGGGGCGGTGCCCTGCTGGAGGGAGATACCAGGAGGGGGACGGTCGGTGCCGAATCTCTCATTCCAGCGGAAGGGGAACACCCCCACCTCCCGGATATAACACGCACAATACGCACAGGACCAACGCCCCGCGATCGGACGCGAATAATCACTCTTCCATCGATGTTCAGGCACTCCTGGATCACCGGGCATAGACGGATTCCCAGGACTGAAGGGCGACGCAGGGCCCAAGGGCTTCCCTGGCCTGCCGGGACCACAGGGCGAGCCGGGCATCCCCGGGCCCACAGGCCTCGTGGGGGCCAAGGGCGAGAGGGGCTTCCCCGGCCCTCCGGGGCCTTTGGGTCCTGAAGGGCGCCCGGGACTGAAAGGAGATCAAGGCGCGGCTGGACTTCCTGTAAGTCACCTCGCGCGAGGCCGCGTGGTGGACTAGCAGTGAAGCGATGTCTGTGAGCAATTCTGATCTATGCAGGGACGAAGAGGAGAACCTGGACGAGCATCGGAAAAGGGCCAGAAGGGAGAAGCCGGCTTGGTGGGCCTGCCTGGGATCCCGGGCAGACCCGGCATGGACGGGCTGCCAGGGCAGAAGGGCGAGCCGGGCATCGACGCGATTGGGCGGCCGGGGATCAGGGGAGACAAGGGCGAGCCGGGGCCGGCAGGCGTGCCCGGCATCGAAGGGCCCAAGGGCCAGTGGGGCGCGCCCGGCGCTCCGGGCTTCCCTGGGCCGAAGGGCAACCAAGTGAGTGGCGGCTGCCTTTGCGCCGTGGGTGTCCGTCGAGCCCGAGAGGAATACGCGCGTCTCGTTTTTTCAGGGACTGCCAGGGCCTCATGGAACGCCAGGTTTACCAGGCATGGAAGGGTTGCCAGGCGCCAAGGGTGAACCAGGGCTGCCGGGTCCCACAGGCTTCCCAGGAGCGAAGGGAGAACCGGGACTGAAGGGACGCGACGGACTGGATGGACCGAAGGGTGACACGGGACCTCAAGGTAAAGTCCCCCCCCCCGCCCTCTTAACAAATGGAACACCATCAGTTAAACTTCATTCCTTTCTAGTCAAAGTTCTACATTTCATCTTACGTACATTTTTTCATTCACAATGATAAAATAGTTTTATAAAAAATAACAAAGAATTATTCAAAAACAAAGAAAAAATTGAAACAAAAAAGAAAGAAATGTTAAAAAGACATCTAGAAAAACATCTATGTGAATAGAATCAAAAATAATAGCACCACAAATCAAGTAACTAAGCACCATATACCATAGAAGAAAGAGAAAAAGGATAAATAAGAAAATGGAGATGTTTAAATGGATACAAATGTGGTTCTTTCAGTGAGTTCACATTTTTCCAGATCCAAGCTTCGCTTTTGATATCCATTCAAAATTAAATTCGTAGTTAACAGATAATATTGTACTTCTATCTCTCTTGTATTGTCTCACTCTATTGTAGTTCAATCTTTCATAAATTCATCACATTGCTTTTCAAATTCCCATTCACTAACTCCTTGTGGAGTAATCACAACATGGGTAAAAGCTACTATATCCACTATATTCAATGATCATCGATATGTACAAGGCATGCAGTTGTCAAATTGTATCTGGAATACTTCCCCATATGTCAGTAACAAGAACTACAGAAATGGACACCCAAGGGGGGAGGGGGGATGTGACTCCAGTTCCCCCTCCAGAAGCCAAAAAATTGTTATAGTTTTCACTAATTTTCTACAGTAATAAAATCATTTAATATATCACTTAAATGTTTTAAATAACAATAAATCAACAAATGAAAATAAATTTTAAGTTCTGCATTAATGAAAAATTCTTTACAAGAAAACATAAATTTAAGTCAGCTGGACACTACACAGATAGCAGGCTCTGCCCCCTCCTAAACCTCCAAGTTGCAACGCTGACAATGAGGAGAAAAAATATAAAACAAGAAGCAGTTCAGTACGATAATAGATATGAAGCCACAAATACATAACAACAGTAGCACATTGAAGGGGAATACATAGAGCTTCAGTCCCCTCCACCCCCTGAAGCCAATTTTAAATATTAAAAACAATAGATTTGACTAATTTTCTATATTAATCAATGTTATTCAATTCATCAATTGTTAAAGTAATCAAATTAAAAGCAATATTTATCATTTTGTTTTACTTATGAGGCTTCATATTCATTATTTAATTGAAATTCCTGCACAAGTTGTCATTGTTGTATTGAGAATACTTACATGGATACATTTCACTTTGATACAAGTTTACATAACAAAACAAAAGTATTTAGTTGATTTTAAATAAAAATTTGTTAAATTGAAAAGTTTGAAATACTGTGTAAAAAATGAACTACAAAATTCAAAATTATTTTATGACTTATTTTTCAGGCATAAGAAATTTTGAAACAGGAAACTGTATTTATAATTTTTTAATTTCATACTTTATTTACTAAACGTTTTATTTAAATATTTTGAAATATGTGTATACAATTTCATGATAATCCTTGTGAAAGAAATTGAAAGCATTTTGAAGAAACAATAATTACCAAATATAATCAAAGAATATTTTGAACTACAGAATGAAATAAGGAAGCATTGGAATTTGAGAGAATTGCAATGTTGTACGTCTACAAGATTGTATTTGATCATAATCACATGTTAAACATAATTGTTTAAATAATAATGAGGAAATTTCCCTTAAGCAGGTGGGGTTGAGTTTTTAAAACTTTCAGTATGTTCATTGAACCTAACTTGTGGACAATTATTGCTTTCTCCATTTATAAGGAAAGGAATTCCATGATATTTCCTCCTGAAGCAACAAAAGAACCCAATTATTTCTCTTCCAATGTAGTTGAACGGATTAGTAAATACTGAGCTATTTGCGGGATGCCTCATCCTAGGCACAGGTGCCAGTGAGTTGACCACAATTCTGCAACCTTCCTCAAAGCGAAATGGCCTGAGGAAGGTCACAGAATGATGGCTGAAAGTTGGCACCTTTACATAAGATGCAACATTTCCTGAACACCCAAGTATTTACTGGCTCCGGCCACAGAATCACAGGTCTCTTAGTTGAATGATCTTTCCCTGCGACAGGTTTGCCGGGCCCTGCTGGGTACCTCGGAGGGCCTGGAGAGAAGGGCGACCGGGGCCCACCCGGCCCCTCGGTCAGCATCAAGGGTGACAAGGGAGAGCCTGGCTTCCCTGGCGTACAGGGAGCCCCGGGCTTGAGGGGCAATGCAGGACCTAATGGCATCCCAGGTCTTGAAGGGCAAAAGGGCAACCCTGGCATTCCAGGCCCACCAGGACTCCCAGGACTTGTTGGAACTCCAGGACCAAGAGGTACATTATTTACAGTTAATTAATTTAAATTGAATTGAATTAATATACTTCAATCAGAATATTAATTATTTTGTAATCTAGCTAAAAAAAATTTAAGAGAATAATGATATTTTTTCAACCTATTTTCACATGTATATATTTTATCAACAAGCTATATTATACATAATTTCTAATAGTTGTTTGCATTCATGACACATATCACAATAAATTTACCAACAAATCTATTTACAATATATGTTAATTTTACTTGAATATTTCTTAATGTTTGTTCAGCCATTACTTTTGCAAGTGTGCCCCCATTTAAATTACTTAGTACTTTTGCCTTGAAGGATGTTATTTCCTGATGGTTACATGGAAATTTAATATAATAATAAGTCCTTAAGTTGGAATAATAACTCATGATGTGGTTCAACACTAAAATGCAAACATAGGCACCAAAACCATCTAACAATTTTTTTCAGCCTGCATATTTTACAATGGATCTGAATTTACTTAAAGGCCTACCGATGTAAAATTTTTCTTTCAATACTTGAAAGTATTTTATATGAATCTTGTACTACAAATACACATTCCAAGCTCTTTAAATAATCTTCACAAATATAGGACATTTTATACTTCTCATTATGTTATAGAAGTTGCACTGTTCTACGTTCTTAACCCTAGAAACTACTTGCATTAACTCATTCACTCTTTGAAAGCACTTTCCTTTTTGACTTTGACAATTTCCTTCCAATGAAATTGAAAATTGTCAAAAATGTGTATGTTGACATGGGTGTCTAATAGGTGATACACAGTATTGCAGATGGTGCAAGTTCTTCGGTATAGACCAGTTGGCAAGTACAATTTATCAGGAGAAAGATCATAAAACCTTTTTCTTAAGATCATAAAACAATGTTGTATATACTCAGGCCTTAGTTAAAACCCCTAGTTTTTAACCTACCAGCCCCTGGTCTAACTCTGGCAAGCCTCCCAAAAAAAACCTTCGCTTTCGGATTTTTCTCTATAATTTAACAAACTAGCACAAAACCGTGCTATTTTTTTTATTTCTCCAGAGTTAGTGAAAAATACACATTATATAATTAAGTCCTAAATTGCCAAAATTCTTAATTAATAAAAAAATTCATGGATGTGTACTAGTTCAGCTTAGCATCCCTTCTCAATATGGCACCCGGGGCTTTCGCTCAGACTGCTCCCCCCTAGTTATGTCACTTGTTACCTTGACAACTTCACAGTTATTCATTTGTGTGTAAATCCTTTGGCACTGACATCTGTGACAGACACAGATGTTAAAAGACGTTCTCTCAAAAACATTTCTTTTGGTATACTTTTGGTATACAAAGGAAATTATTTGATTCTGCTAATATCAGACGTTTCATCAACTAGATTTATTATTTCTTAGCAAAAAATGATTTTTTTTTCAAAATTATATCTCTACAAATGAGGAACTTGTTTCCAAAGCTACTTCATTCACTACAAGGTTTGATATGCTCACAGCTTACATTGCCAATTGTATTCATTGCTGATGGTATATTTTACCAAAATTTTATATACCAAATTTAAATTGCATACTATAACCATTAAATATTCTTGTTAAAAAATACCATAGTATCCAAATTTACATAAAAACTGTTTATATCATTTGGAAATACAAATGTCAGTATAAAATTGGCATCAAAACATACCATATCAATACTTTATTCCTTCAATTTTTCAAATGCAGGAAAAATAGTGATGTGAATGCTAAAAAGAATAATGGATATTTGAAAACCCTTGCATGACAACCCTGCAAGTTCTTCAAAAGATAATTTCTCATTTTTGCCCATACAAGTAGTAGGTGTGTCATGTTCTTCACATATTTTTTGACTTTCTAATTACTACAAGGGTTGTTCTTCTTCAGTAAAAGGTTTGATTAGTGTACGTGTATGACTAGTGTATATATAGTATTAATATGTGTCCAATTGTAGTGTAGCCTACATGTAAAAAGATACAAGATTTGACAAGGGTACATATGAAAAAATTATAAATTAATTATGTAATTATATTACAATTAAATTATACAACATCTTGGATCAGTTCTATGTCATTCAAGTTATTTTAATGCTTGTGTTTGTGTAAAGGGTATTCAATTCAATAACCCAAAATGTCTACTCTCATGTACATAATTTTGTTAAATTGTTGAATACTCTAAATTTTGTTCCAACAATTTTTAATTGTTTTAATTCATTATTTTTGGTCCTAGGAATACTTATTTACTTTGAGATCCTGACACATTGTGCACATACATTAACATTGTTCATTGTGTGTGTTTAATTGGACACTCTTTCCATTGTCTAGTAATCTACAGACAATAATATAATACAGACAATATTTTAACTTTAAATAACTTAAAATTCAATATGGATGATGTAACGCACCTTGAAACAAATTTGGGCAGTCTTGCATTTGGTGTACTTGTATTGTTCTCACACAAGAGTTTTCTTCCAAAGAGTAATGAATCCACTATATTTTATGGCAAAATGTATTTTATCCCTCAAAGTCATAATGTACTGTATCACCATGAAGTAAGATATTAATTAAATAATGTAGAATATTTTGAATTACGTAATATTTAAAGTAATTACATAAGCATTAACTTCATTTTTGACTGTCTAAAGACAAAGGAATTGTAAAGTAACATTAGAACAAAATATACTAGTATATTTTCCCTGAAAATTTCTGAAAAAAATGTTAAGAGAAGATAATACTCTTTACATGTAGACTCACGAAGTAACCCCTTTTTGTATGTTTGAGATTGAAATAGGTATTCTTTCAAAATATTAGCAGAAACTCAGAAACATAATAGTTATTGGAAATTTCCATTGTTATAAGAAGGTGCAATTTCCAAAATTGTTTTCGAAATCTCAATGTCCACAAAGTGCAATTTCAGAATTTCACAACTGGGTATATAATTATTTATGAGCAAATTGACAAAAGTGAATTTAATACAAAAATTATATTAAAAATAATATTAATCTACATAATATGAAATTCCATCAATTATTTTCCTCCTGTTTTAACTTATTCAATTAAATTAAATTATTATTCAAATAAAAAATATTTATTTCAAAAATTTTCAGGGGTAGTGTTAGCCCCCCCTCCCCCTTAGTACTGCCTTTCAGTAAATTAACAAAATAAACTTCAAGATACATTTGGTAATTTTTTAATTCCTGAGACAAATTAAATGTATTCGTGTGAACTTGCAGGTCTGCCAGGTCCAACAGGTTTCCCAGGAGAGCCGGGAATCACAGTCAAGGGAGAAAAGGGCTTGCCTGGTTTGCCTGGGAAACAGGGTCGAGATGGAGTGCACGGAGCGCAAGGACAGAAAGGTAAACTTTTGTATTTTACTTTTTGAAATAAGTTGAAATCAGTGTACCTTTGCCACAACCAATATTACTGACTAGCTAAACATATCATGCCTCTGGTGAGCTTTTTCATATAAAAAGTTTTATTTGTACTTTGCAAGTTTACAATAAAACTAAATTTTAAACATACCACAGTGGCCTGGCTCATGCTTTTTCAGGTTTATAGCTTACAAGAAAAGTCTCCATTAATTGTTTAAAAAAGTTTTATAACCCTAGAAAAACGAAAAGAAATAACAACAACAACAACAACAACAATAATAATAATAATAATAATAATAATAATAATAATAATAATAATAATAATAATAATAAAAAAATAAATAATAACGAACATTCCACTAGAAATAACGGAAAATAATTGAAACGTCAATCTATCCATCTGTCTGCCTGTCTATGGCCAATGCTAGCGCCTAAACTATTCAAATGATTTTCTCCAACCTTTATATTCCATGATCTATTTCATTGATCTTGAGGACCTGTGATTTTGAAATGGATATTTTGATATTTGTGGGTACTTTACAAGACACCCAATATTTTCAAAATGTTTTTAAAAATAGTTCCAACATGAGAAAGTATAAATCTGCTACATAAATAACAAATTATCTTGAAAATGTGAAAATGAAAAAAACGGAGTATCAAATTAAAATTATACCTTTGAAAATCAAAATTAGTACCCCTGCATTTTTTTGTATGTTGAACATGCAAACTCTTCTTGATTTTAAGCCCAAAAACTTGAAACAGCTTTTTGGGGAATTAAATTCTTAGTTTTGTAATAATGTTTTGACTTTTAATGCATTTTTAGCTTCTAAAAGTCACGGAATCTATTCAGGAACACTTCAGGGACATTAAAAATAGGAAGATTTAACTAAAAGTAACCGAAATGAACTTGATGTGGCTGAGAAACTTAGTTTGAAGTCAACTTTGTAATCTAGTCTCCTAAAAACCCCTATATTGGTACAAAAAAAGATAATTTTCACTTCCATGCTTTTCATTAAAAGAAACAACATTAGAACAAATATTGTTTGCTTATTTTTTACTAAACAAAAGCAGTTTAAATAAATTTAAAGATTCCTAAACGATTTGACATGTAATGACAAATAATACGTGAAGACATGTGTTCTTTTAGCACACTGAATCAATTCTTTTAAAAGAAAGTAATTGTCAGGCGTAGTTTGAACACATTGAAGTCAGCGTAAAACGTTCGACCGCATTGTGAGCACCTTCAGAGCGATGCTGCGGCGAAGAGCTTTATTAGGCCTGAGGACGACCGAGGTGATGTCTTTCAGGTGACCGAGGGCTGCCGGGGCTGCCTGGCTTGCAAGGCGTGCCGGGCCTGGCGGGCCCCGTGGGTCCGTTCGGCCCCAAGGGAGAGCCTGGCCCGCCGGGGCCAGTCGGCCCCCCGGGCCGGGACGGCAATCCGGGCACCCCAGGGCCTGTGGGGCAGCCAGGTATCCCGGGCGCCAAGGGAGAGCCAGGGCCTCTCGGCATCCCCGGCGCGCCGGGCCAGAAGGGAGACACCGGCCAACCTGGTGAGCTTCCACTCTCTTGCACCACCTCCAGCGCCGGAGCTACGCAATTTTCGGCCCGGGGCAACCCCTCCCCCAAATAAAAATGCGGAAGTTGTATCTAGTAACTATTTGGGTTATTTTATTTCAAGAAATAACAAAAGTTACAACGTTTAAACAAGAAAAAGTTTTGGGGAATATATATTTTAAATAATAATTTTAAGTAAAAGTATTTAGTGATCAAATAATACCATTTCTACGGTGATCTTAAAACGCTTAAACATTTTGTTATATTTATTTTGTGTTCAATAAAATCACTTGTTGCATAAATGAAATTTTAGAAAATATGAATTGCAGTAGATCCTGTTTTATGTGAGCGTCATTTGATTCATTTCATTAAGTCTTATCTTACAAGTAATAACTATAAATAACTATGTAAGGTATACATTTAATTAAAAAAGTTATGAAATAGTATCAGACGGTACCGCGACTTAAAAAATTACGATAACGATTTCCTCGAGTTCTAATTTCTTTTCCAACTTTTTTCTATCGGTCCCATCACCGAGCCCCGGGCGCCCGCGCGATCTGCCCATGCCTTGCGCTGGCACTGCCTATTTCCTCTTCAATTAATTACATTACAAGAAAAAGACAATCGTAAGATAACGACCCTAAACTCAGTCGGTGAGATACTGTTTGATACTGTGTGACCCTTTTGGATTGTTCGAGATTTAGTTCTTCTGGCAAACCCTTCTCTGTTTCGTGGGTGGTCATTATGAGCAGGAACCTGACATCTTTGTAAAATTAAATTAAAAGAATGAGATAGAAATAATCTTCCAGGATACAATTAAAGATATTATTTCATTTTCTGCGAAATTTAACCTCACTACTAGCAATATTAGTATGTTTACAGGTTTAAACCTTTTCTGGACGATTATTTACTTTACCATATTATGCTTGTCAGTTTTAATTTATTTTATTAGCAATACTTTTTTCGTAGAATATTATTTACAATAAATGGGATCGTAATTTCACTTTGATCGTATTTGACTAGCGCAGTAAACCAAAGCCTCCTGTGGTAGGGTAGGGTTAGGGAGTTGACAGCCAGGTGGCCTTGACTTAATCCTGCCTGTCAACTGCCGCGAAACGATTCAATATAAAAGTTTAACTTATAAAAGTCACCATAAGTCGTAGAAAAAGTACCGCATGAAACTCAATGTAACAGGTATTCATACACTCGTGTGAAGTTAACAATACTAGTTAACATCGTAACGTTATATCACACTCGTGTATTAATACCATCATTACATCATCGTTTCACGAGCTATTATTCCGTGTCCATTGCAGGACCGCAAGGCATCCCTGGCGTACCGGGAGACAAAGGAGACCGGGGCCTGCCGGGCATCCCGGGCCAGCCCGGGCTGCAGGGCCTGACCGGCGAAAAGGGCGCGAGGGGCTTCGACGGCCGCGACGGCGCGCCGGGGCCCATCGGCCCCAAGGGCAACAAGGGCGACGCGGGGCTCTCCCCGCCGCCGGGGCCCAAGGGCGAGCGAGGGCTGCCGGGGCCCCGAGGGCGGCCGGGCACGCCCGGGCCGCCCGGGGTGGACGGGGTGCCGGGGCTGCCCGGCTCCAAGGGAGAGCCCGGCCTGCCAGGGCCCGACGGGGCCGTCGGCTCCCCTGGTCCCCTGGGGCCGCGAGGCGAGCTGGGTCTCAATGGCCGCGACGGGCCGCAGGTAATTATTCTTATTCTTTCTTTTCTTAGGGCTTTTTCCAGCCGACAGACGGTTACCCTTTATGGCCCGATGGGACGCATGTTCGACCATACTCTACTGTACCGGCAGCGTAAAAGCGACTTTGACACTTCAATGCGCTGTTGCCTCACAATACTACGCACTTGCCACCACCTGTATCACAGATAAATTAAATCTCAAAACATTAACACTTACTGACAGGCTATGACACGTCCCACGTCATGTTCATAACTGTCGCTGAAGTCGAATCTTGTCGCCTCAGCGACTTCGTGTGAATCAGAAGAACGGCAACGCGAAACGCTAGCTGTGCGAAAGTAAGCAAATCCTCGGAAGCTGATTGCTTCGGAGCAGGTCACACGACCAACCACACAACGAGGCGAGAGAACTGTCAGAGTGGCTTACACGCTGACGATGCTGTGGACACCAACACACTTGCTGGGGTCAGCGGAACCCGAGGCCCTCCGCGACAACGTACATGAGGGGCAAGGAACAAACAACCGTGCCCAAGAGAGGCCTCGAACCCGCAACCCTTCGCGCTGAGCCGGTGCATGCTCATGGCCTTCCAGGTCGGCTTCCGTCTTCTCTACATGTTACGATTTACCTCAAGCCCATAATCCTCTAACATTCACATTGTGAACGCAATAACACATTCCTTCAAAGTTCTAAATTTCAAACACTTCCACAGTATTAGTGAAGTGAGAATTGCAAAGATGTAAGTGGAACAAATCAAAGTAAATGAAGTCGTAGGCTTCCGCGGCCGCAGTCATGTGCACGATCTGGGCTGTCCGGGTGACGCCGCGTCGAAGGCTGTGTTGCCGACGTTTCGACCATTTTGTCGTGGTCTTCCTCAGGGCTGGTAGAGCAGATACCAACACGTTCCTTGATATTCAAATAAAACATTTGTAATTTTGGTAAAATGATTTTTTATGATTATTTTTCAGTATAGAAGAAGTCTCTGTAAACTCTGAAATGTAACAGTCATATGTAGAATTATAAGTTGCAAACACACTGCGACAGGATCATTAATAAATGTAATGCAAAGAGTAACAATGCGTAGGGCTTGCGAGGAGACCAAGGGCCGAAGGGCGAGCCCGGCCTCCCGTGCGTGGACCAGCCTGACTACCTGACGGGCATTCTGCTAGTTAAGCACAGCCAGAGCATCACCATCCCACAATGCGAACCAGGCCACGTGAAACTTTGGGACGGCTTCTCACTGCTATACATCGAAGGAAATGAAAAAGCACATCATCAAGATTTAGGTAAGTCTCTTTCGGGCACCTCCCCGTCCTCTCCTTCTTCATTCGGCACTACAACCCGGTGGGGGACTTGGCACTACTTGCTCTACTTCTAGATTCCTCCATTCCTTTCTTTCACTCGACTCTTCCATATCTTGGGAGAGTCGTACGCAAACCTCTAACCTTGGGATACTCTGCGTCTTGAAAGGCGTGAGTTTTTTTAGCATAAGAGTAAAACTGACATAGAACCGTCCTCGGCGATTACTCTGAGATAAACCACAGCCCCTTACGCTAGATTAGAAGTCCCTCAAAACCATGAGCATCGACGCTTCCAACTGTCGTTCATCTTTCCACCTAACGGCAGAGTTAAAACACACTAACCGGAGGGAATCCTTCAATAAAAGATGTACCCCTTCAATAAAAGATGTAAAAGCTGCTAAGTCAACGAGAAAATTTCATTCCACTCCAACTTTTAAAGCCGTTGATGAGGCATGGTGACAGCCAGCCTAAAAGAGCATATGTTAACCAGATTGGACAAGAATGTTCGCTTCGTTACAACTCTCAAAACAGGATGAGTGCATGAGAAAGTGAATGTATCATCCTTAGGAAGCTTGGAGACACCTAAAACCTCCAACCTTTTGACGCTTGAAAGATCACTTTCTACTGCCAAGCAATGGTCTTCAGTGGGAATGCCAATCAGTCGCGAAAGACCGTTACTCGCATACCTGCGAAATGCGAACCTACCCACCACGAGCAATATTTTTGAAACCTTATCCCAAATACGCTTCACGTGATCGACATCGCTAAAGAAGATCATTTATATAGAACCGAGCGCGAATAATAAAGGTTACGGAGAGAAAATTACCTTCCTCCTCATCAGCCAATGGCTTTAACACTGTTAGAAATATAAGGAGCATACGCGGTGCCATAAGCGAAGTCAGAAACCTATAGACCACTAGTTCCTGTTCAGGGTGGTCCTGACTCAAAATTTAGTGGAACTGGAGGCCTCACTGCGATCTGCCAAAACAACTTGGCCACGTCAGCCATGTAAGCAAATTCATGCCACCTCCACTGAAGGACGACAGCGAAGAGGTCATTTTGAAGCTTGGGCCTCGAATGTAGAAAATCATTAAGGCTCCGTCCAGTCGACGACTTACAAGAGGCATTAAATATGACCCCGAGCTTTGTATGTATGTTTATTGGGTTTACTATGTAACAACAGGTATATGATGGATAAATACTGAAGGGGAGCAGTCATCAACTCAGATACAGGCTCCATGTGACCTACTCTCAGGTACGCGCTTAAATGTACGATATCTATAGTATAATTCGGGCGGCTTGATTAACCTTCGTTCTGTTCGTAGCAACACGTTCTTAGCAAACAGGTAGGTGTCTCCAATAGGAGGAAGAAATTCCGCCTTGACTATGTTTCTATGTAAACTATGTAACGACCATCGCTAAGGCGTTTATGAGTGGAATGGAAGTGGAGTACACACCCACGATCAGTTTTGGAACAAAGGCACATTAGGTACTTCCTCAATTATCCAGAACTTCTGCAAAGTCGCACCTCCAGAGAAGGGTAAATAGCTAAATGGTTGGCCCGCCAGATCGTTCTAGATGTTGCTTGTAGAGGATATTTCCCAGCCGTTTACCGTCGTTTTAGCAATGCCTCACCTTTCTCCCGCCAGAACAGTTTGACAACATTAATTTGCTCCAATTACAAGATCGTTTTTTCATAGCTCTGCGGAAGGGGGTCAGCAAATGCTAAATCTGTGAGGTACGTCGTACTAGCAGAGACAACATTACGAGCAGGAATGTACAAGGTTTGTCGAAAAAGTAATGAGACTGAGTCTATACACAGGAGCTTATCCATCCGATTTTAACAACTCAAAAATCTTCAAAATAGTCCCCTTGGGCGTGGACGCGCCGCTGCCCGCGCGATTTTCCAGAGTTGGTTACGGCCTTCTGGATGGCGACGTCATCAGAACGGTGACCTCTCAGGGCGTTTTCACTTTGGGGAACAGAAAAAAGGCCTGCCGGGCGTACGCTAGGGCTGTAAGAAAGCTGTGGCAAAGGTACAAGTCCTGTCCGGGCCAGGTGCGACGTCACATGGAAGACTCGGAGCGTTGTCGTGGTGGAGCTTCCGCCGATGGGCCATCTCTGGTCGCCTCTTCAAGTTTCGAGACATTCTCAGTTACAGTGTTGGGTACCGTTGATTTCCACGTGTTTATTTCTTCCGCTATCAATCGCAGACTTCCGACGGTCGGCGTTCGGACGGACTACGGACGGTCAGAGACAGCAAGAGTTATTTTTAACATATGACACGTTTTCGTCCGAAGAACTCGATGAAGGGCGTTCAGATCGATCTTTGCCCTCAACTGCCTCCTGCTCGTCTTTCAAGCCCTTATACCAGCAAAAAAACCTGGGCTTTCGACACGGTGTTGTTTACTTAGGTCTACTCAATCAAGATAAGCGTCTCTGAAGCAGTTTTGTCCAATATAATCCAGAATTTTATCGTTACTCTATCGTCCGCTCCATTTTTCGCTTTTTATCCCGTGACGAAAATGAAAAAAACACTTTGGCCAGCGGTCGATCCTCTCACTGGTCAGAATCGACTACCAATGCTTAGGCAAGACCCCCCCCCCCCCCAACCAACGAGTTGCACCCAGTGAGAGCGCTCTGGTGGCGGTATTGAGCGCCGCAAGGTGGTCTGTGTCATTACTTTTTGGGCAGACCTTGTAACTCGTCAAGAAGGGAGATGGCCTTCAACAACATCGAGACACCATTAGGTTTCAGATTTAAGAACGAAACTAGGCGCCTCCATAACGCGCGTACTACTATTGATCTACCATTCCCAGAATGCAGCCCCTCCCAAGCTGTATCCAGGAAACTGCCAATTAAATTTATACCCGAAAGATAACGATTAATTGATATCTCGTGAGAATTGGGCATAACAATGGCTTCAGAAGCGGAGGCGTTCCTGTCGACGGCACTGTCGAAAAGCAACAAAGTGATTCTTATTTTCACGTGCATTGCATCGTTTACGCTGAGGAGTGTACTGGCCCACATAGAACAAAGTTTATCCTAACAATGAACTGTGCGAGCAGCTTTCTTAAATTGAAAGAACCTAAAAATTCGTACAACGTTTTACTTCCGAGCAAACTTTGTGGGGGCCACTCCCATCCGCGAGAGTTTCCTTAGAATAGCCTCGGACGGAATCTAAAGTCCAATACGAGTATCTAAAAACCCGTCCAATTGTTTAAAAAGCTGGTACGTCCGTGGTTCCACGAAGCGTTTGCTCCCATTCAGATCTAGTACTGACATCAATTTTATTAATAGTCATAAAATTAAATAAGTTGTCCCAAGCAGTAATGGGGTGATTCAAATTTAGAAAAGCTGCCCTGATGTCACCCACTTCATCTCGCAATCTATTCAAACCAGTAAGTGCTGAATTTTCTCTCCCCTTTCCGAGATTTACAAAAGTACGCAAAGGAACATTAACCTCCGAACGTGTGTTATTGAACCGTTTTTTGCAGTTCCCAGGCCGGTTTATAATTCGCCTCACTAACACAAGTGTGCAGTGTTCTCGGGAGCACTTTGCCAGAAAGACTTTTTTTCGAATAAAGAAGTTTCTGAATATCACGACAATTCGGATTTGAATCAAAGAGAGACACAAATAGGTGTCGATAACCTTCCTCTCAAATCGCCAATAAAATTAGGCAAAGGAATGCTCGGAAGTTTCAAGGGCATACCTTCGTCACATCCCGCTCGAATGACATCAGAACAATAGCGGGCACAGTGGAAGCTGGCCGAGAAAGTTTCTCAGTTAAATCGTGATAAAAATTCGAACCTATGTCATGAAAAATTAAAGAATAAGTCCCAACTTTATTAAAGACAGATTGTTAGTACAGTTTATTTACATAAATCACATAATTTTCATTTGTTAAAACACATTCTCTTTAATACCACGACTTTCGACCGATATTGTTTGTCATCTTCAGGAAATGAGTGGTCGTCTACAAGAAGTGGTCTAGTCAGTGAAGAAATTTACAAATGTTTAAAAAAAATATTATCTAAACAATAATCATTAGATAAGCACACCCTGTAAGTAAATTGGGCTCACTTGTTATCTTTATCTAATCAAGTTGGGACTTATTTTTTATTGTGAAATAACAACAGTGTATACAAATATAATAAATAATAGTATGCCATGAAAGTTGGTTACATTGACAAATACATCTCTCGCGAAACACATTGCTTACGGAAGTTGGTCGCCCTCGCTGAGTGTCGCCCGGTACCGCCTTCAAAGCCGCATGTTGGACCACGAAATTTGTTGGCACAAACGAATATCACACTGGATAAAGAACTGCATTTCTCTCACTGGCCAGCCTACAACGGCTTAGAGATTATCGACACGTTTGTCACAGCAACCACCTTTGGATAAGGCGCCTGGGTCTCGAGGGTAGAACTTCTTCACTTCGAGAGAACGCCCTTGGCCGGCATGGTTGGTGGCGCACTCACTGGCGCTTTCTTGAGTCTCCACAGCCCAGTAGAGCATCGCGTGCGTGCCAATCAAATATACTCATGTTTTGTTTAAAAAACAGTACTATAAAACGGGATAAGGAAAATAAATTAAAAATATAATAATTCTTATATAAATATTTGTTGACCTGAGACTCCTCTCAATAGCCACCCCTGATTAGAATCTCTACAGAGCATCAAAAATGAAAATTATATACATTGTAACAATGAAAGCATTAATTAACATTTGTACTGTATAATTCTAAAATACTATGAACCTGTATAGGTAGTAACAAGTTTTGTACTTCAATTTCTGGGTCAATGACTCATCTTGATTAGGTTTACTGTCCAATTTCACTTGATTTATTGAGCAAATGTTGAGGCGGACACTTGTTTCATTTCTGCTTACAAACGTAACTTCACTATACATGTTTTGTTGAGTTCTCCTTTTGGTAGTTGAGATTGGAGTAGAGTTGGGGTGTGGGTTGATGTTTTGTCAGCAATACTATAAAATTAAATCAATAGTTGTTTGCCGATACAAAATATTTTTTACTACTTATGAGCAAATATTTGTTTTCAAATGTTGCTAATCTTTCATCAAAATCAATCAAATCAAATATTTTCTTAACACAAAAGGGTGTGGTAATATCTAGTAATCCGTGGAAAAGATGCCTCAAGGATGTTTAAAACTCAGAATTTAAAAGTATCGCATGCATATGTAATAATTGTTCAGTCTCCATGTTATAAATTATAATAAATAACACCACCTGTGCTTTTGAAATTCTTGATAAATCTTCAAGTCACAAAGCCATTTCTGCCATATCTTAATCTCTTTACATGTCTTCCAAGAATTCACTCGAGAAGGCAGCAATATGAAGATGTTTTACAATGAGCTGGTGCATCAAATTTACAATATCAATCATTTTTTGTCTTAATTGTTTAAAAATTTTATTTGAGTTTATTCACAAAATAGCAATAATCTAACTGTATAGAGGATGACACTTCACGGCTGGGTCCTATCAGTCAATTCAGAACTTGATTTTCCAACAACAGTTATTTTTCAATGAACCTGCACTTTTACTTCAAATTAATATTATCCTGATAATTTACTTCAAATTTTGGAAATCTCTAAATCTTATGTTCAGAGCCCAAAAATTATTAGTTCTAAATCCAAAATGATTGTATAATTGAATTACTTATTTTATTTCTCAGGTTTTGCTGGTTCTTGCGTGCGGAGGTTTAGCACAATGCCATTCCTCTTCTGCGACTTCAATAATGTCTGTAATTATGCAAGTCGCAATGATAAGTCTTATTGGCTGTCAACTAATGAAGCCATTCCCATGATGCCTGTGGCTGCCAATGAAATCAGGCCATTCATTTCCAGGTAAGATTACCTTTTTTCCAACAGCAAAATTTATTAACATTTGAAGTAAATACACTGAATGTTATATATGTTATTTTCAGATGTGTTGTTTGTGAAGCACCAGCAAATGTCATAGCAGTACACAGTCAAACTCTCGGAGTTCCTGACTGTCCCAATGGTTGGTCAGGCCTTTGGATAGGCTACAGTTTTGTTATGGTAAGCATTCCATTCCATTCCAATCAATTCAATACACAGTGAAGCTTCAAAAATCTTTGAGGCCTGAGCCATCTCAAATGATGCAAGTGTAAGAATTATAATACTGAGGCGAGGTGGCTACATTTTAACTTATGAGAAACAAGGTAGTGGTTTTTCAGGACGCTTCCCTCACACTTTTGGAAAAATGTGTAAAATAGTGTTGCTTCAGGGTGGCACACACTTTCTCACACTAGTTAGTTTTCTAATCTCTTCACTCTAGGCTAGCTTCTCAATATTGATCCACCCTCTACCCAAATGCTTTCGGTGCATTTTTCAATTTTTATTGAACAATTTGGAGCTGTTCTTCAGAAAATGAGCTCAACTTCACAGGAAACTTTTGAGTTTTCAAGAAATTTTATAAGAAGTCTTTTCAAGCCTTGCTGCTTGCAAATACAATAACGTAAAAAATGCCCATAATGTAAATACTTATGATGTGAGATTTTAAAAAATTGCATTGTTTTTAAGTTTTGAAAAACTAAAAGAATACTTCAAAATGGCTTATGTTTCATGTAGTTTAGTAAATTTAGTTCTACCTATATAAAAAGTCTAAAAAAATGATCCATCTATCATTAATCTTATTCTTACATACACACCATTTGAGATGGCTCAGAGCAACTCTGTTGTCGCTGTAGTATCTCTGACCAAAAAATCCTACAATTTGAGTCACATTGATAGCGGATTTCAACACAGCTGCATAGCTATAGAGCTGGGTTCAATTAATCTGCTGGCTGGAGGAGAATTCAAACACCCATCCTCTCCGATTGGTAGTTTATCATGGTTTTTCTGATAAATTCCAGGTAAATGCCCGAAATCTTAACACACAGGTCACAGACCTGATCATTCTTTTATCCTTTCCTCTCCTCACAGGATATACGGATATAGACAGATTCACGGATATAGACAGATAAACAGACACATACACTAACAAGCATCACATTACAATGCAAGACGGGAGGCCAGTCGGAAGCTTAGTGCCCACACCAGGGATGTCCAACTTGCAAGGCCTCAACGACCACAATTAAAATTTAAACACTTTTGCAGGCCATGTTTTCACTACTAGATCGATTTACCCTTGACTTCTCTGTTTTATCTTGTCAGTTTGCCCGGCTGCTTTGAAATGGGGTGAGAATGGAACTATGCATGACATCAGGATTTACCATGCCCAATGCAGTGAAACACACTGGGATAATTATGAAGTCCTGCATTTAGTAGAAAAAAAAATCCTTAAATCTAGCGTGACCTATTTATTCGTCAAGGGGATTTTGACCTCAGTGGGGCATATGTGCAAGGCACACTATGTTCTCATCCAACATAGATGCAAGAGACTTTCACTTTCGACTAATAACCTTTCGCAGGCCTCAATAAAGTGCATCGCATGCAGCCATGATAAAATCGCATGTTGGACAATCGTGGCCTATATTTTGACTCAGCTGGACCAGTGTTCCCCTGCCAAATTTATCTGGAGTGGGAACATATGCAATCCAATGTAGGTCGGTTCCAGATCTTACATTACTGCAGGGGGAGGAATAGTGCCATTTTCCAAGATATAACGTGCACTACACTTAAAAGGCTAATGACTGTAGCAATCTACACACTGAGAGGAACAAAATAATCCATGTTGCATTTGCACTTCCTTTGAATCAAAAGATTTCTGATTTTCATGTCTGTTTTCCCTCGCAGCACACAGCCGCAGGTGCAGAAGGAGGAGGGCAGTCACTGGCCAGTCCAGGGTCCTGTCTCGAGGACTTCCGAGCCACACCTTTCATCGAATGCAACGGTGCTCGTGGCACATGCCACTACTTCGCCAACAAATTCAGCTTCTGGTTAGCAACAATAGAAGAAAATGATCAGTTCCGGAACCCTGAGAGCCAGACGCTCAAATCGGGCAACTTGCGATCACGCGTCAGTCGCTGTCAAGTGTGCATCAAGAACACGTAGTGTGTGATGCAACAGCAGCAAAGCTCTCAGACATTCCGGGGCAAGTCCCCCCCACTGCCAAGCTGATTGTGTTCATTCTTTCCTCAATCAAAAACTGTGCTGCCATTGTGAGGAGTTCCTTCGTCAGCTTTTTCATACCTGCTTCTTTCTCGCGCTCGGGAGCTACTACAGTGGTAGCATGTCTTGAGCAATGATTCTACATCTTACAATGCACCTGACAGTTCACTTGTACGTCGGTGGCTTCCCACTACTTCTTGACATTGACCATGTGACTGTCTCCATTACATAAATGCATAAAAGTCGCAGACGCAAAGTGTATTGGTGCTATATTCCTTTTACTTAAGTGTGTAAAATAATTTTAATTGTAAATGAAAGGGACTGACACTTTAACTATTTTTTTAACCATTTAATTATGTGGATCACAAAATAAAATTTGTAATTTTATACGATTGTACCAGTGGTGCGCCTAATGTTGGGTTTTTAGAAAACAGAGCTAAGGCAATATGCTTAAATGTTTCATTGACCTGTTACTACTTTATTACACCACAAATTAATGTGCAGGCTAGTCACCTACTTAGTAAAAGTCAGGACCATTGAACATACCAGAGGGTCCTTGACTTGTGAGTGTCCAACATAAGTTGCCCACTGCATTCCAGCATCGATTCCTTGTAAAATCTTTAGATATTTTGAGATTATGTACCATTAGAATAAGAAAGGAGTTTGGTATTTTTTCGAGTTTCTACCCCATTCTATAATAATAAATGTAAATTTTTGTGACCAAGAGGAGCGGAAGAGAATGCTGAGTGCCATATTAATTTAATGCAGTGTTGTTGGATGCAAGTCACGCCTCTCCTCTCCTGCCACTCTCTTTCACCCAAATAAACACTGCCATTGTAGAAAACAGGTGATGATATTGTCTAATAAATTGGAATACTGTTAAATTGCTTGTTTGGGTTACACTAACTTCTTTACATTTGTGCTATTTTTATGATTCCATACATAGTTAACTGTCTTTGCTCCTTTTCCTTCAATGTACTTTAAAGAAACACACAAGGACTCCATTTCCTTTAAAAAAAATCAATTAGTATAAAAGACTGAAAGGTCTTTCTCAATAAGTTACCAGGAGTGGATGTTTATCTGGAATGCAAAATGACAAGAGATATTTAAAAATGCAACAAAAAATAACTTTTATTTCATAACATGATTAATAGCCACAACTCACATACATCAAGGGGCAAAATTTTTATGCTTCCTGATTCAATAAATTAATTCATTTATTACTCTTTATTGCAATTATGAAAATATATCATTCAATGATGTAACTGTTAAATAGCGAGTAAATCAATATTACTGTAGTAATTATAAATATATACACATTAGATACATTTATGTTTTTAATTAAAATACAAGTTTTTTTTTCAATATTGCCATGTGCGTAACACTATAACTGTTATGATAAAGCAGAGGTGTAGACCTCGCACAACCCTTGGATGCCAACAACTGTCACTGGCACAAAGCCTGAGAATAGGTGGTTTTTGCACAACCTATTAATATGCACAAAATTCAGACTCTGCAAGTCTGAGATCAACTAGCAATTTACTTTTTCACTAGCAATTTACAAAACTTACTAATCTATACACATTTTATAGGAATTGATTCACTTTACACTGATGCCATACATTTCTTATGCAAAAATGAGCAGGTTACAGATGAGAAAATTTTCATAAAAATATATTTGGTCCCCAGTGATAGAAAAAAATGAAAAATCATCAACAGCCAATCAATAATTCCTTTCAACTGACCATATGATTTTCTGAGGACACATTAATGCAGAATTAAACTCACTCAAAGTTTAACACTAGCACATGTCAACAATACGAATGTTAGCACTATAACAAGAATTGATATTTTAGTATTTCTATTAGAAATCTTCTGAAAGAAAATAAAGCATTTTACATGTTAAGAAATTACCAAAAAATCATTAGTAATTTACTCTTCATCAACTGCCATATGACATGCTAAATGTTCAGTGCTTTCTACTTTTTTTAAAGAATCACTAAATATAAAATGTATCACGAGATTCAATGGACGATGCACATAATTCTGTTAACAAGCTTAGTTTGAATAATACCACGCAGAAAAATTTGTTTTCCAACTTTTATTACGGAAAAGGAACTTTATGTGATCAGTCATTAAATGTTGAAAATAATAAACATTAAACAGAAAGTCAACAATCCTTAATATACAAAGCTGCATATTAATATGCATTGCATTTAGATAATTTATATGAATACAAGTCTGTTCTTCTAGAAAGGCTGTAGTGACAGAATAAAAATACTTCACTAATACCCAACACTTTCTTCAATTGCATAATTGATATAACAGCCAAGTAAAAGAAAATATTAATAGCACATCTTCAAAACAAATTTATTTCAAACATTAAATATTTCAGATTATTACTAAACAATATAAAAACATTATATACAAATTGGCTTGAGCAAGCCTGTTTGGATGCAGCAGAAAAATATGAAATTCTCAAGATGAAAAACTGATCACATTCAAGAACAACCAAGATTAAGAGAATAACAAAAAATACTGAACGATTCAAAACAACAAGGTGAAGGCAACAAATCCATACATAAAAAGCCAATAGCAGTTCCCCTCATACACCTGAGCAGCTACTCACGTTTAATATCTGTCTTTATTTTGATTGCATGCAGAAAGCAACCGAGCTGCCCAGCAAGAGCTCGAGTGCAATCATCACAGAAAAATTCTTACAGCCACACTTGGACACTCAATTCCCGTGGAGAGGCTAGAAAAGCACTTCTGCAGCCTGTTTTGTACCCTCTTACAAACTCTACATAACAAAAGTATGTCTTAAGTAGACAGACAACAATACACTTCACAGTTTATTTTACAACTAAAATCAGTAACAATAAAAAATATTCTAAAAACTACTAACAATACAAAATCTATATAAAAAAAGGACAGCAATAACATTTAAGGAAGAAATGAGGACTTAATATGACTTAGTCATATTTATAACATAATATAAAGAAAGTACAAAGCACGGCTTATACTTTTAAAGTGCTGTGAACAAAAGAAAAATAGAGCAACTCACTACTAGAATTAGCCTCCCGCATGAGATGTGCACGTTTCAGATGACTGAGTTTGAACACAAAGTTTGGCAGGAGCAACATTCACATTAACAACTGAATTGGAAATCTCGCTTAACTGTCATTATTCTACAACAAGCTATGATGATTGCTACTTAATGATAACAAATCTAGGGGCATGTCAGTTGAGGCACAAACTCCACAACTTCCTTGTACACCAGTTCTGTGAACAAGCAAAAAAACAAATCGTCAGTCCTTCTATAGTGCAAAAATAATACATTCACAATTGCAGGACTATACTTTCAAACACAGCTAACCAGCAAATGTTACACAATATTCAGCAAGTTTGTGGAATGACAAAGTATTGCCACCCTTACCAGTCAGAGTCTACGGTGCAGCCTATTCAGGAGAGCAGGCCATAATTTTCTTCAAAAGTATATGAGTTAATGTGTGAGCCTGAAATGAAATTGCCCCTTCAGGACACCCATTAATAGCCTGAGGGGCCATCCATATTGCCTAATGCCAATTTGGAGTATTTTGAATACATCCTCTTCCCCCTGTAACACATCTGCAATGCGTATTTGAACCCTCCCCGTAAAAAATTACATAAGGTTTCCTACAACACACCCTCTTGTACATACAAGAATTGAAAATAAATTATAGGACAGTAAAAACAGACTGTATTTATTTTGTTGTTGTTGTATAATATAATGAATGATAATGTCAGAATTAGTTGGAAATGCTGATTGCACCTAACAAAAAGGTTGGGAGCCAGTTGTGAGTAAAGAAAGAACACATAGGTGAGGAAACTTTTTGTCAAAAGTTGTGCACACTCTGCCATGGATGATGTATGGGCAAGAGTCTTCTGCACCAATTTAAATGGATTCTCAAATATATTATGTATCAGTTTTGAATATTTTCTTTGTAATCTTACAGATTCAATCCATCAAAATTGATAAAGAAAGATTTTCATTTATTGTTTAATTAACAAATTAGTATAAGGCTAAAAAAGTAATTATTCCAGCAAATGTTGAAAAAGGTAAAAAAAAATTATCAATGTTATGTAACAATAAACTAATGCCCCCGTTCCCCTATGTAATGCAGCCTCCCCCCCCAGTACCGTAACTTAATTGATGGACAAACCCTGAATCACTTTTCCAGATTTCTCTGCCAATCTAACCAAATAAAATATTTAAATGGGTTCACCCTAAGAAATTAATTTATTGTTGTGGTAGAGATCGGAACCAAAAATAAGATATTTTCAACTGGTTTCCAATTCCCTAATTCCAACCTTCTCTCCAACACAACAAAGAATGGATTTTTTATATTTTCATTTTTTAATGCCTTTATGCTTTCATTATTTTTTAAGTAAAAATTATTTGATGTTTAAAAACAATTTCCTACAGTACATATACATTATCTGACTAAATGTTTAATTCCTAATTTGAATTTAAAAAAAAAAAGATTTTCAAAAAAACATTTTTTAAAGTTGGATTCGTGAAATAATCATAAGTATAAAATTTTATTTCAAATATTGTCAAATTTCTTATGAATATTCGAAGTGACGGCACTAATTGACACACAGCGTAAATCTCATTTTATTTCAGATGGTTAAATGGCTTTTTAATACATACAAATTATATTGCAATTTTTATTATATGCTAATATTTCAGCCATATCTTGCAAATAGTCTTCAACCAAAGAGCTTCTATCAGCTATCAGAACATCATGCTCATTTCATAATATCTATAACTACATCACAAAAAGTCATAGAGAAATTATTAAATATAAGAGCAATAATCCTTTCATCATTATTAAATGTGTCTATACACATAAATCGATTGATGTTGCACAAAATTTCTGCCTATGATCAAATGCTTCAAGACATTCAAGTATGAGCAAGTCCATAATAGCTCTTGCCTCAGATTCAATTAGAGATTTAATTTCCTTTAACATTTGTTAGGTACGCATGGATCAAGTAGATCCATTCCATTTTATAAACTTTACTTCACTGAGTTGAAGATTTGAAAGTTTACGAAATGTGGTGATATCCTGTATTGAACTATTTGGTACCAATTGACCTGGTTACCACCAGATCAACATGCGCACATGCAACCATTAATCTTTTATACACAAGTAACATCCTACAATAAACTTTTCTTAATACCAAAATTGTTGAGAGTTTTATTATTAACTGAGTTAATGAATGCTTATTTTGTAAAAAGTAAGTTTGATTATTCCAAGTATCAGACTTATTATTGCATTGCGCAATTGTATTACTTAATCTGCAAAACTGTTGAATTTTTGTGAATGCTGAGTAATCAACTATTTCACACATTCAACACTACTGACTTATCCTGAAGTTTTCCTGTCAATGACAGAACTACACATGCAAATTACCTTTCCACTTCTCTACAGGGAGATCCATATCCTCAAAGCTCTGGTCATAGGGGGCAGAAATAGGTTCGTCATTCGGGTCTGCATATTGGCTGAGGTACTGATGTGCCAATGCTTCTTCTGCTGTAATCCTTTTATCTGCATCTAGCTCCAGCATTTTTTCAAGTAGATCAATAGCTAGAAAAATGGGCACTTATGTAAGATCAAAAACCAAACAAGTTGATATTAATATGTGTGTGTGTGTATATATATATATATATATATATATATATATATATATATATATATATGAGAAATAATTCCAATTAAACAATTCCCCAAACAAGTTTGACAAGATTTCAAAATCCTTTATAACATCTTCAAGCACAAATGTCAAATGAGAATCTATTTTTGAGGTTTATGAAATATACATTCCTCTTTGCCTCTTGAGAAGTAGATATCACTGGGTGTGAATACGAGCAATGAATATAACCAATAACACAGGAACAAATAAGAGCAAACAACTCTTATTTACAGTTCAGTACCCAAAGCAATGAATTTTCCCAGAACTTATACAGAAAATAATTTCAGAAAAGCCTTCCCAGGAACACAAATAATAAAATGAAAGAAATGAATTTTGAATTTCATTCTTCTTTACTTCACTTTACTTCAAATTGTTTATACGTTACTGAAATGTTTATTAATCTATTACTTTGTTATTACTGTGAAACTCATTTTATTGAGTTTTAGTTATATTTTTTCTGTATTAACTTTTTATGTACTGGATTATCCTGTTAATAAATAAATAAATAAAATAAGTAAATAATGTCTAAAGAAATCCAACAATCTTATTATTTGCTATAACTCTTATTATTTGCATCTTCACTCAATAAGGATAATATTATCTCACCTAAAGGATTCGCCCCTTTGAAAACTTCTTTGAAGTCCTTCTTCTTCAAGGGCGGCAATGACTGGATGTAATTCCGAGCCTGCGACAAAGGAACACTATGACATTTGCTAATCCACACATAGTCACTAATGTTTTCACATTTAAATTAAAATATTAAAATTGTTTTTAATTGTTTATCAATTTCTCCTATATTTGATAACAGTTCTGATAAAACTGTACTTCAAAACTTTCTAAACAAAGCAACAATACATAGTTATCAACTTAAACACAGCATCACAAACATATAGGGTAAATATGAGGATGCCAGAATACACCAAAATGATACATCAACCAGATATTCTAAAAACAGTTCCAATTTTTACTTTGTACTTTACTAATGTACATAAGTACATTAATACGTACTTATGAAGTAAACATACTTACTAGTAAAGAGAAAGTACTGTATGCTGTGTCAGAAATCATTGTTTTTAGGCAGAAAAATTCATTAAGGGAACCTGAGCAAGTAAATGAAGCTTGTTCCATAGTAAATTGCATCATGTCCCGCAGTTGAGTCAAAATCCAAATTTTATGGGTCTTTGATCCCGAAAAATTGATTGATTTCTTTCTGTCCGTCTGTGCAACAACACTAGTGCTCTGACAATTTTCTCTAAAATTGATATTCCCGGATCGGTCTGGATGAATTCAAGGACCTGGGGAGATTAAGAGAGATATTTCGGGGAGACCTTTACATGAAGCGTCAGCAACATTTTCCGAAATTTCTCAAAATTTGTCCCTTTTTTTGATAAAATTTGTACCGCGGATGGCGTAAAATAGGCACAGAATACGCGCTAGTCTCATTGTGATTGAAATCTCTTAATTTTTGATCGACTCATGAGCTCGGGCACCTCAACTGCTGTGGACATAAGTTCCGGCAGAGCATTGAACGATTCATCGCTGGCAGAGGTGCGGGGTGCGTTCCTCCCTCGGTGGACGGCGAGGGATTTCCGCCTCCAGGTATCATCCATCAGCGAGGCCCCGCCCCAGCCGAGGCAAGCTCTAAGCTCCCGACCGGTCTCGCGGCCACAACACGTGTGGTTGTGAAGTGTTCTGAAGTAAGTGTAAGTAAAGAGAGTGGATAGGAAAGGGAAGAGGAAGGAAAGATCGCGCGAGGTCCATGACCCTTTCGTTAGGGCTCTGCTAAGGCGTTCGACTGGCAGTGTTCAGAGAAAAACTTCGCTAAACTCCCGATCAGAGCAGCCGGCCGCTAGAATTCTCCTCCAGAGACCGTCTCAATTGCAAATGCAAATGTTCAACTGTTTAAAGAGGCAGGAAGGTGGGATGTATCTGTAGCGCGGCTGTTGTAAGGGAGTAACGTAAAAGGCGTGCCATCTCTGTGGGTCAAAGTACGTATTCCAGCACCTACGAACAATTTTTGCGGGTTCATGTAGATATTATAATATTACGTAGCCATTACAAACAATGCGAGAAAGTATGTGCGGTTGTAAAATAACATTTTTTCTTTTTTCTCATTAGAGCAAAGTGTGTTTACAAACATGCTTTAGATCAGACTTTCCGAAAAACCTCCGGAATTTCAAAAATTGCAAAAGTTTAAAAAGTTCTGAGAATTGTGTCATAACTACATTATTGAAGATTTAGTATTATTTATTAAAGCCCTTTGATCTTCAATATTAGATATTAAAATCATTTCAGTTCTATGTTTTCACAATATTCAATTTTCATTTTTAGAGATTTCACAATATTCAGAGATAATAATATTACAGAGAGTGAGTTACATTAGGACAATTTTGCACCTTAGGAGTCAGATTCACCGGAACTTAAAGACTTCTTTTGAGAACCGAATAGCGCAGAAGTACACCTACAGGCTCTAGTTAAAATCACAGTTTCGTAAAATGCTTTTTCCTTTAAACTAAAATCTACCTACATAAAAATAAAAGGGAATGTTTGTACGCCTGTCGCACACCGACGAAAAACCTACTCACGGATTTTGCTGAAATGTTAGCAATTTTCACGCTGTTCTTATTAGTATCGGGTGTGTTTAATGTAAGGTTTGAATTAAATCGGATATGTGAGGGTGCTGTTGACAATGACTCGTGTTTACGATGACTATACATCGGATATTTAGGAAAATGGCTATTTTATTATAATAGAAATATTTAAAGGCAATTAATATATGTATATGAATTATGGAAAAATAACACATTCTGATGAATTTTTATTTGGCCTTTTGTTTTAGTCTTTTATGACGTACATGCCGTTTTACACACTCTTTTTTCTTTTTAAAAGCTTTTTTCTTAAAATTTATGTATACTTCCTTATAATCTTGGTTTTAATTACACGTTTAAATCATTTTCAATTCTGCTAATCACATCAATTTTCTACTGGTAACGCATTGCCATCACCACCCCTAGACCGAAGCTTTCATTTGAGTTTGCACACCACATTGAATTTTTGAGGCCAGACAGCTTACATTGTGGCTCCAGATCACATTTCTTTGAAAAGGAAAAAAAAGAAAAAGACGCAACTTGGGGTGGCTTTAAGTGCTTGGTTGAGCGGTGGGCGCTCCGGTAAGCGCCGAGGTGACCTCAGAGGGCAAGGCGATGATCTCGTCCTCAAACAGTGATATCATTCCGGGCCAGATGTTCTAGAAAGCGCGCGATGTAAGCTGCTAATTACGACCTATTATCTGCCGGGCGTGAGGCGCGTCTTCATTCTGCACGCAGTTGTCTTTTTGAGCGTGCACAAGTACCTCAGCAGTGCCTTCAATCGTGTGAAGATGCCAAAGTCAGTCACTAATGACTCATTAATATTCTCTCGTGTTATATTGTTTGTTAGTTTTTTGTTGTTTATTTTATATTGACTAATTGTAGGTGCAAGGTCAGTGAAATATATTAGTGCTTTTTTCTCCAATTTTAAGTTTTTATTGACTTTTTTGGTGCGTATTTAAAAACATTTTAGTGCCTTTTCAGGCGCCAAAACGTTTTTTAATGCCTTAGATCCGATGTCTAATGATGAATCAAGCGCCCCTGAACAGAAGCGTTACGCAAACCGCCGCACTCTCAAGTATTAAGCGCGTGGTGGCTGCATATTCTGCCCATGTGATTGCGAAATATCGGCCGGAATTTTAATACCAGATATTACTTGGACGTCATCTGGGACAAGTAAATCAAATTTCTCCAAGACAGTGCCATAGCGAACGCATGCCCAAATTTGAGGGAAGACGTTTCAACAATAGGATACTTGAAGCCATGTCCAAACCAAAACAAAGGGCAAACACATACTGGCGAGAAAGTATTTTATCTGTTAGAATTTTTGCAGAGTGTAGTGTAAAACATGATTAACACTCACGTGATCAGTAGCGTGTAAAGTGCAATGCACTGCAATTGCGAAGCATTACCGGATCTGCTAGTAAAGAATATAGCACAATACGTTGAATTCAAAGGCAAAAAGCCATTCGCTTTTTAAACTTCCGACGCTAAAACAGCACTTCTAGTAATAATAACGGTTGCGTATTAAAATATCGCAACTTCTATCCATATTCACAAATCTCACACATCACTTTCAAAACTCATTACCAATTGTAGCGCATTAGGTGAAAAGGCTGAGTTAATACATAAAAACAAATTCGACAATCCAGAACTGCGAAAATCATCGCCCAACGAGAAGAAATTCCGAGAAAAATTTAAACTGTTCTTCCGCGGCGTTCCAATTGCAATACGAACTGGTATCTTATTAAGGCGGCTCCACATATGCGGCATTCGGCGGATCCCGAGCAACTGCTCGCCAAATCCCGAGTAGTGTGGACGGGGTGCTTGCGATTCGCCGAGCGCCGAACATTCGGCATTCGCCCTACCCAATGCGTGTCGGACATTAGAACGCATCAAGGGGAGCGAACATTCGCTGAACATATTAGCTGTTCGGGATTCAGTGAGCAGTAGCTTGCTGTTCAGCATTTGCCGAATGTGTGGAGCCGCCTTTAAAGATTTCTGCAAACAAACGGGGGAAATGCGAATTTGCCATTTCGAAGGCAATTGAAACTACTCATACACATGTGTATTTTCGACAAAAACTAGATTTTCTAAACAGCACATACTTTATGGCATTATTCGAAATAGTTACGTAATATTGAAATATATCATTGTTTGTTTTCTATTGCAAAAATTGTCACTTGTATTACTAAAAACTCAGTTATAATTTGAAAAGTTCAATTTAGCCAATTCGTTCGAAACGCCTATGGTGCATATCTACATTTCTTTCAATTTCGTTCTTTCTTTCTTTTGGAAAAGGAGTTCCTTCTGAAGAAAGAGAAGGAAAGAGAAGGAAAGAGAAGGAAAGAGAAGGAAAGAGAAGGAAAGAGAAGGAAAGAGAAAGAAAGAGAAAGAAAGAGAAAGAAGAGAAAGAAAAAGAAAGAAGAGAAAGAAAAAGAAAGAAGAGAAAGAAAAAGAACGAAGAGAAAGAAAAAGAAAGAAGAGAAAGAAAAAGAAAGAGAAAGAGAGAGAAAGAAAAAGAAAGAGAAAGAGAGAGAAAGAAGAGAAAGAAAAAGAAAGAAGAGAAAGAAAAAGAAAGAGAAAGAGAGAGAAAGAAAAAGAAAAAGGAAAAGAAAGAAAAAGAAAGAGAAAGAAAGAGAAAGAAAGAGAAAGAAAGAGAAAGAAAGAAAAAGAAAGAAAGAAAAGAGACCCCCCTACATGATTTCTGAATCCGCCCTTGCCTTCGATCGGTAATGAGTAGAGCCTGGAAGTCTGGCAAAATGCATTTTTGTTGCTATTTCATCACTTTTGACAATAGTTATTTCCTATTGTGTATCTGGAGTTATTTTATTAGATTTTTATAGCTTTTCCGAATTTTAACTTCTGATGCTTACTTCGCCATTTTGTCTTTTTTTGTGTCTTTTCCCGTCTTCTACGTAATTACTTTGCTTTTTTTCTCCGCTCACCGATCTCCATCAAGCTGGATATATACCCGCAAGCCTGGACAACAGGAAGGCATGATCGTATTTTGTCTTTCTGTGGAAGCAGAGGCATTGTTAAAAATATAAATGAAAAAAGAGAGGATACCAATTAAAAGTTTTGATTTTTTTGCCGA